AGCACTTTGTCCTGTCTTTAAGTCTTTATCATTTCAATAACAGATCTCAATTGACTGATGTTCTTCATCACTTCCGTCGCAAATGCTTAGTTTTCAAGTTGCGACGGAAATGATGTAGAACATCAATTAATTTACTACATATTTCCATAGAAACACATAAGCCACATCAGAAAATCGTTGGTTGGGTGAATCTGAAAATTGTCCCTGCATTCTTTAATTCTCATGTCCTTGTCTATGGTGGGAGGGCCATATATCATGCAAACACAATGATTTAGTTTAGTTTATGAAAATGGTAATATAAATACCATTGTGCATTGTTCTTGGACTCAGTATGATTTCTGTTTAAGTAAATTGGAGATCAAGGAGGATGAATTAGTAAAATATTCGTAGACCAAATCACTAACATGATCTATGGTAAAAGTTCTGTATGTGACTCCTTTCTGGTAACGTTTTGAATTTTTACATGCGCAGCCAGAGGAAAGGGGGCTACAAGGGCCATATCCCCCCAATTGACAGAAAAAAAAATTAATAATAATTAAAAATTATAATAAATGATAATGAAAAATTTGTATTTGCATGATTACAGACAGTGATACATCCTCATTATGGCATCTCGTGAACGTGATGTTGGACGTTCTTATGCGAGTGGGTCACAGAAAAGAAAGAAGAAACTTCAAGAAGAACAGAAAAAGGAAGATGTAGGAAGCTGCAGAAAGGTCACAGACATGCTCCGAAAACCAGTTTCTGATGTTACCAGTACAGTTGAATCTGCAGATACGTCAGATCATACAGGAAGCCCTCCCTTCATTATTTCTCAGCCAGCATCTACTTCTTTTGTGTCTCCTCTCAATGTCTCAACGGACATTTCATCCACAGGGTTTGTCTTAAAAGATCCTGCCTCATGGCCAAATGGTAATCCCAGATTCTCTACGTAATGCTTTCATTGCAGAAACTTCAGTCAAACTCCTGAACATTGACTTTAGAAATCAGCAAGGATTTATGAATGATGGAAGTCGTCCTGTTTAAAGTCATCTATGTTTTATAGGAAGCTTGCAATTCGAAACTGTGAAAAGATCATGGATGGTATACTCTGAAAGCTCAGGAAAAGTGTACTATTCAGCATGCAAGCTATTTTCTACCAAAGAAAATACCTTCACACAGGGGTTCAATGACTGGAAAAATTCCAAGCGTTTCGAGGAACATGAAAACAGCACCACTCACAGGAGCTGCATTTTAGCCAGTGCATTCGTGCACAGAAAAAAGGCTTATTGGATATCTCATTTGGAAAATCAAACTGAAAAAGAGCGCACTTATTGGAGGAAACTTCTAGAAAGAGTTGTTTCTGTTGTAAAATTCTAGCTCTAGAGACTTGCTTCCGTGGAGAAAATGAGTTTTTGGTTAGGAAAAACAATGGCAATTTTGGGATCATAGAACTGTTAGCACAATTCGATCCATTCTTAGCAAATCAGTGTCACGCCTTGGGAATGCAGGAAAAGCACTGTATCTTACATGTCATCTACTATTGCAATGAATTTATTGAACTGATGACTAAGAAGGTCTCAATAACATCATGCAGCTGTGAAAACTGCAAAATACTTTGCATAAGTGTAGATTCAACACAGATATTTCACATACAGATCAATTGACATTCATTGTTCGCTTTGTCGACTCCAGTGGTAACTGTAGAGCGCTTTATAAAATTCATTCCTCTTTCAGCCATGATTGAGAAACAATTATGAATGTAGTACTGATACTCTGTTTGAACATGATCTCTCTATTATGGATTGCCGTGGCCAGAGCTACGACAATGCAAGTAACATGTAGGGTAAATATAATGGATTTGCAAGCCCGTATCAAGCAAATCAACCCATTGCTGAATATTTGCCCTGTCAGCACATTCTCTTAATCTTGTTGGGTCATGTGCTGCGGAGTGTTGTGTCGCTGCAGTTTCATTTTTTGGACTTTTACAAGCACTCTTTATTTTTTCTCTGCTTCTACGCATCGGTGGAGTATACTCAAGTCAACCATTCATGGAGATGTCATCAAATCATTATCAACAACAAGGTGGTCAGCGCAGTATGATGCAACACATGCTTTGAAAGACAGCTTTGCTGAAATACGTTCTGCTTTGATACAAATAGCAGAGGATGAAAACTAGACAGCAACTACAAGAAGCGAAGCAGCCAGCTTAGCATCAAAATTGTTTGAATTAGCCTTACTCTGTGTGCTTTGGGACTGTATACTGAAACGGTTAAATGCCACGAACAAGACACTTCAAAAAATTGAAATTGAAATGGGCTACTTGTGCTAACCTCTATAGAGGCTTAGTGGAATTTGTAAGCTCACTTCGCAATGATGAAGCTTTTGAAATGTTTGAAGAGAAAGCTAAACTGCTGGTGAAAGACTACAGTTACCGGGCTGATCATCAGCGGTCAAGGAAGAAGAAACGCAATTTTGAAGAGCCAGACAATGAAATTGTGTTGCTACCAAGGCAGAAATGTAAGACAGCTACATACTTCGTCATTCTGGATTCACTGATTACAGAATTGGTGAAAAGAGAAGAAATCTACCAGAATCTCAATGAAAAGTTTGGATTTCTGTTCAAAATTACTACTATGCCAGATGCAGAATTGAGAGAAGCCGCATTAAAGTTGCAACAACACCTTTCAGCAGATGTTCAGGACACATTTGTTGAAGAAATAGTTCATTTTTCTGGGTATATGAATCAGATTAAAGCTCCACCTGAAAAATGTGCGCCCTCAGCTGCTTTGAAACATTTAAGAAATGCAGGTATCTCAGAAACCTTCCCTAATGTTGACATAGTGTGTCGCCTTTACTTATTAACACTTCCAGCTACTAACTGTGAAGGAGAACGTTCATTTTCTGTTTTGAAAAGAGTGAAAAACCAGCTCCGTTCAACAATGAGCAAGACAAATTGCGTAACCTAGCCTTGTTGACCATTGAGTCTGATCTAACAAGAAATATTGATTTTCAGAATATAATTGATGATTTTGCCAATATGAAATCCAGAAAAAAGTTTATTTAAGAAGTGCCTGTGAATATAAACAATTCTTTACTTTCTTGAGTTTATATGATTTGATAGTCTTATGCATGATGCAATGAAAACAATAATGGTCAGTGATTTATAAAGGGAATAATAGTGCTGTAGTGGTTATGCTGAATATAATAGGTACATGATTCACTACTTTAATAGCCTAATCTAGTAATACTATGCTGTCTTGAGTTTATTCTCTTTAAAATGCATGATTTAACAAGATAGTTATAATGGCTGTTGGTAAATGGTTTTGGTTGTCTTGATGTACTTTCCTTGTTAAATTTAATCTAAATAGCCAGAATGTATTTAATTAGACCTTAAACAGGCTCACACCGACCCCCACCCCTACCCCCATGCTGGAAGGGGTCGCTTCGCTTACCCGTAACTCAAAGGGGCCCCACCATGGCCCGGAGACTTCTTAATCCGGCCCTGCACACACTGTGTGTGAAGCGAGAGCGTTGCCTACCAGGCCACGGGGATGGCACTTTTGTTGAAGTTGCTACAACCTTTTCGCTCAGGTTAAGGCACTCAGTCAAATTCTGTCACGCTGAACTTTGAGATGTGACAAAGAAACCTCTTGTGTTATGTTGAGGCTTAGCACAGTTTCAAGTTCACTTAATTTCTCCATGTTGGGCAAGAGTTGAGGATGGCGTTAGAATATTAGGCACCTTTATGTTATGTTACACTAGCTATTGTGATGATCTAAGATAATTCCACCACCTACCTGCATTCGGTGAACACAAGTCGGCACTGAAGAGTGTCGCGGGGACGAGCGGAGGTGCCACCGTGACAGTACGTGATAGTACAAATCAGCAACAGCACATGATTCTTGTACAGTTAGGTTAAGAGTTTCTATCACTATTTACAAGTTAAGACCTCTTACCAACATTATCTCTTTTTTAAAGCCCTGTTATTGTTATGAGACATACAGATAGGGAACAGGATGAAGTTGAAGCCACCTGTTGGCCAGCGGTTTCTCTCTCAAACATTTGTGCTATAAATTTTTCTTTCAGTGGCGTACTCTGGCAGGGGTGAAGGGCTCTTGTTCCAAGGAGCTGGAGCTATCCTCCGGCTGAATAATACCTGATTATTTCCTCATTCCCTACATGTAACTGGTGCTGTATATGACCCTTACATACTTTGCACTTTCCCACGACTGTAATATTCATAAACTGAGAGTTACATCTCGAAATACGTTCATTTATCTGTTTTCTTTTTCTAGACGGAACAGTAAAATCATCAGTTATTTATAAAACAGCTTTACTGGTAAGACAATTTTTTCAAATTGCGATAATTCTTGTGGTGATATTTAAAGGTAAATATGACGCTGGCACTCAGCATTATTCCATAATTTTTTGACTAAAAATTTATTAACTTTGCAAATACTTCTTTTCAAAACTTTTTGTTTTGTTTTGTAAATAAAACTTTGTAAACTCTTCCTAATAAATGCTGTTCCTTGATGCTGGAGCAGTGCTCTTGATCCGAGGTATAACAGACACCTTTGGATTTAACCTGACTTCCTTAGGGGATTAGGCTTCTCAATATTTAATATTATTATTACTATTATTTTTATTATTATTTAAATACCTCTTGTTTAATTGTAATACAGGAAGGTTATATTTATTTTTCATACTTTTTTACATAGTATTTTGCATATTGTTGTTATATAGAACATAGAAATGGAAATAAATAGTATAAAATACCGACAGAATGGAAATATAAACACTATAGTAGTATAATGGGATCCTTTATTGACAACGTTTCGCCCACACAGTGGGCTTTATCAAGTCACAAACAGATCTACCTGGGTTGAAGGTACGTGAATATTTGTAGGATGAAGTCAGGTTGAGAATGCTGGATCAGGTGGAGAATGCTGCATGTGACTATCATCCTATAAATACTCACGTGCCTTCCACCCAGGCAAGATTGAGACCCGTGCCAGGACTACGGCCTTGGCGAACATTATACATACACCCAGGCGAAACGTTGTCAGAACATAACAATGAAGAAGAATTTGCAGAAAGCATAATCTTAGCAAAGTATTTAACCAAAGGGTGGGAAACACCATCTGTTTTTAGTCTTGTGTTTCCAACCGTAGAGTCAACAACATTTTCCTCCTCCTCGCCGTTGAGTAAGCATCACATCTCGTCATTTCACGCTGGGAATGATGGTCCTCTGGCAGAAGTCTCATAACTAGCGCACTGGGCAAACATTTTTTAAAAACTATAATCGCATCTTTCTTGAACTTTTCGCCGCGAACGTTGTAGATCCAGGGGTTCCAGGCTGTGGCGCACACGAATAGCCACCAGCATATGTATGAACGTAACTCGTAATGTGAGATGTCGGGCGGAGCCATCGCAAGACCAAGGGTGTACATGTCAATGTGTAAAGGGACGACAGAGATAAGGAAGCATACGGTCATGAGAATCTGTGTTACCAAACAACGACGATTTTCCTTTTTCCTCGGTCCATGATACCCCATGTTCACACTGTGCCATTCAGCGGCCTCTCTGGCCTGTTCTTTCAGGAAGTTTACGATGGCCAGTATCGAGAAAACAACAGTACAGAGGCTGACGACACTAAAGAGGAACAACTGGCTATAATGCAAGATTCTGTAGAAAACGTTGTCTGGAAAAGCATACGACAAGATTAATGGAAGTTTTTTGTAAGATGACCAATTTGCAATAAAGGTACCGTCCTTATCATAACTGAAGATAAGGGTATCCAGGAAGCCGATGACCCAGGTGAGTGTAATGGCCGCCTTCACCCTCCTCCCTGTGAAGTAATCATTGTACCTGATAGCCCTGCTGGTTATCACCAGCCTCTCCAAACTTAGCAGGAAAAGTGTCAAAAATGATACAATGGAGCACTGACTAAACAGGAGAGCGTGGAAGAGAATGAATCCCTCTTCAATAACTATTATGGTGGAAAGTGTATGGTTTACTAGATAGTGGACACCGTAATTATCTCCATCGAAGTAATAGTTAGGGTTGAAGAAAGGCTTCACATGGTAACAAAAGGAAGGAACAACGACGAAGAGGGCCACGAGTAAGTCTGAGACGGCGAGGGAGGTACGGAGCATGTTGGACTCTTCTCCCCGATGTGGCCCACTCACCATCACTACCACAACCATCAGGTTGCCTGTCACACCACTCACCGCCACGCACACCACCATCACCATCAACACCACCTCTCCTACCTGACACGACAGCGGTAGATAACTCCATGCTCTGTTCAACCCGTGCTCTTCTGGGTTACCAAACCATGCCACAGTGTAAATAGGATAGCAGCAAGGCCAGTGCACGTTTTGCGTGATGTATGATGTTTCGTTCTCGAAAAACAGTAAGCGGTTGTTTTCATCGATGCATGTAGTGCCATTTATCAGTTCAAGAAAATTAGTTACGCGGAAACCAAGCCCGGCAATTTCATCATCAAAGAATGTATAAATTCCATAGCAAATTTGACGAACACATTCTGTCTTTCCAATCATAAAATTGTCCATAACTATTACCCAATAATCATATTGCAGAACTGATGCCAGTGGACACTGCTTGGAATGGAAAAATGCAAAACTTATATTCTCCTCGTGGCACAAAGTAAAATATTTCTCATTTGTACATGTTTCAAATTTTATAAACATAGGTAGGCAAAAGTTAATGTAATCGTCATCGTAATATAAATTTATTACAATAGTTTGATTTTCTATATCAATTGTGTATTCGACATAATCTGCTTCACCACCATATATCACGGAGTAGATATAATTACATAAATACAGAGTTGTATTAAATGGGATAACATATTTGCCTTCACATTCAGCATCTGAGTGGCCATGGAACGACGGTGAGAACACAGTGGGAGGGATGGTCGCACAAGACCATATTGTCATAACATGATTATGTTGGAAGATGGATTTTGGTAAATATTTCTGAGAGAGATTTCATTAAAGTAGAGGCGGTATGTCGCCTTGGCTAAACTGCTTGGGCTGACTTCATCTGGTTGTCAGGGTTTAGTGTGATCTTGTTTGGCGATTACTGCGAAGTTGGGGCACATACTGAAGGCTTGGGGGTAATATGGTTTTCTGATGCGGTAATGCTTGGGTGGGGTGGGGTGAGGGTAGCATGGTCGCTGTTGCTGGTAACTGCCTTGGTGTCATGGTAGGTGACCCTGGTGGGCCCTGAGATGTGTGTAGCGTCGAGTCATTTCCCGCCCTCGGCCCGGCTGGAGTTGCCACAACACAAAAAGCAGCAGCCACAAGACAGAACTCGGGCCCCCTGAGATGAACCAGTAAGCCATCACATCTCCCAGAGAAACAGAAAGCTTTTTACTCACAAAATCGTAATGACACGATTGCAAAAAAAACCATACCCTATGACCGAGGGTTCAATCCCGGCCGGGGTATGGTTTAGAAAGCTTTGTTTACTGGAAATTCCTACACTAAATAC